GGAGTCACAGAAAGAAACCCACCAAAGAGTTAACTTTAAAGTTGGCAAGCACAGAGGATATAAACAAAAAACATATTCAATAATTTCTTAACATCCACCTATCACAAATTTTCATGAGAGTTTTCTCAAAAGTACCACCTCTGGGTACTATTACAATATGAATCCCTTAATCCCTGTATTTGTACTTATGAAAGGATATAGGGACTTAATGAACAGACATAACCCATTTCAGTTTAGTGACAGGGAAACAAATGCAGAGATAGCCCTCAGCCTAAATTAGAAGCTGGCTTCCAAACCCTGCCACTGCAATGATGCTATGGCAAGGCTTTGGCAGGACACAGTTATCTCACTGCTTCATAATATATCAGCCAAGGAAGAGCATGATTTCTATGCAAAGCTGAGATTCAGTCTAGTAACTTCAGTTCAGTCAACATTAAATCTTATTTATGGTAACCTTAGATAGGTTCATACTGTCTTCCTTCAAAACACCCAGAGTATTTTTATAGTCTCTTAAAGGGTCACACATACTTGCACAAGGGCCAAGTCTGAACCAGAAGTACTAGCCACATGCTTGGCCTTACCTCATCCACCTCAGCAGGGCCACACAGCCCAATTCAGATATAGTTCCTATTCAGACCTTCAAAGACTGGCCAGAATTTGCTTACATCTGCCTGTAAAAACACAATGTCGATATGCTCCACCTAATCTCTTGCAGAACAGAGTGCCCTTTACCAAAGCAGCTATCTAAACTGTCCTTCTGGTCTGTAAAGATACGCAAATAACTCGGCAGCTACAGTTAGAAAATTCACTTTCCCATATTTCCTTTTTCCTGCACATAGAGAAAAAATACAGTAAATTAAAATCCAAACGGGACAGAAACTACCAGCTGTATTGATAAAAAGCTAAGGCCTTGGCTTGAATGTTTTCAATGATTTTCTGTATTATTTTTTCCCATTCTTAACTAGATTAAGAAAGAGGATTTCTTAGAGGATTCAGAAGAGAGAGATATCTTGGGAACTGTACTATTACAGCCCTTTTTTGTGAGACCCGTGATGTTTGGTTTACAAGCCTTGAGCATTAGGAGTTAACACTACTAGTCCAACATGATGGGGGAGTCACTGCACTTGCAAAGGACGGTGGCTGTGTAACAGGTCTGCGTTTCCATCCACCCTCGCTTCCCTGCCAAACCTGTGGTTGTGCAGCACACAAGTGAAAACAAGGCCCAGAATATTGCTTGCCAAACTCTGATGCCCTCCTGGCAGATTTTCTGTATTTACAGTCCTTGAGGTACATATTTAGCAACTTCCACACAGAAGAACTGGGAAGGGTTTTTTTTTTTTTTTTCAATTGAATTGATTCAGTTGATTTTTGAAAGCCACTTTTCATGTTACACCTCAAATTCATTTTTATGAGACACAGCCAGTAAGTGGCATTAATGATACGTTCAGCAAATGCCCTAATGTTACCACACATGTACGTTTTGTTGCTACTAGCTATTCATTTCCTCCTTCACTGAGGGACCAGTAAAAACAGCCAACACAAAATGTGCTGCCATTTTAGCAGCTGGAGTGTAACGCATCTTCAGAAAATGAACAGGCCTCATTTCTGGTAGCTCTGAACTTTTGTTAGGAGCTGCTACAGATGCCTCACAGTGAGATTCGAAAGCGCAAGTTCACATGGTGCATTCATGGAAGATGGAGTTCAGTGCAAAAAACACTCCAGTCCTTTTTACGGTGCTCCAAGATGCATCATTAAAGTTAAAAATTCTTCCAAGGCACATTAGCAAGCAGCAAGGAAAACTGCTCTGACTTTGGCTCCTGTCTCTTCTTTTTCATGAGAGCTTTTCTTGGCTTTATTTTAGTATTGACTCAACTGGCAACACAGAGGGTAACTCCCAGCTCTTCCTCTGGAGACCCACCCACACACAGCCAAAAAAAAAAAAAAGAACAGAAAAGAAACCCCACAAAGAGGGTATCCAGTATTTACTGATCCCTTTCTTGCCTTTCTTGGACAGAGTGCTTTACCACGCTCTATAGCATACATATGTGTTTAGCATACATATCTGGCATACCGATAGTCAGAAGTCACAGAGCAGCTCCCTTGCCATCGCCCCCGCTTGGTTCCCTCTCAGTGAGGGAGGGAAGGAGGGGTCTCTTCCCCCAGCGCGGAGCGACTTTCCGCAGCCTTTTTCGGCCGCCTTTTCCAGCGCCCTCGGCACAGCTGCAATCCCAGCCCTCCGCGGGAGTGCTGGAGCAGAGCAGGCCGCAGCTGCTGCCCCGCACACCCAGCACAGCTGCCTTCGCGGCGGCCCCTCGGCGCGGAGGTGCCGCGGCCCTGCTGCAGGGCCCGGCCCGGCCCACGCCGCTCATTTCCTGCCAGAAGATGCTCGGCGGCTCCTCCGCTTCGGGGTCTGCGCTACCTGCTAATCCAAACGCCACCCCAAAAAGACAATCCTGGTGGGAACCTGCGCCGGGATGGGAAGCCCATCTCCCAGAGTTATCCTCCCAGGAGGCGTTTTTTGAACCCTGGGGAGGTGGTTTCGCTATTAATTTGGTTCTAGCAGCCTGCAGCTTCCACAGGAGAGCTGAGTCAGAGGTATCCATTTCGTCAAACATTCAGTTTTGTTAGGTGAAGGAAAAGCAGTGCTGAGTTTCTACCTCTAGCAGAGAGGAGAACATTGCTTCAAATATAATCCAACATCTGTTAACAACACGCTATTAGAGAGCTTTTATCCAAACACATTCAAAGGCCTCTGAAGATTTAAAACAACCGATTTGCTTGTCTGGGGATACTTATATCTCAAGACAGGTTGACTGAAGATACTAAGCTAAATAAACTTTTCTGAAGATATTTATAAGGTGCCCTTAATTTCACACCTTCAGGTAATCCACCTTTTTATTGACGGCAGAGAGGAGAGGGCGAGCCTGCTCTTTGGAGGTCGTGGAGACATCAGGTCCCACATGGCTACATTTCCCTGCAGCTGCACCCATTCTGCGTCCTTTAGCAGGATGAGCAATTTTACCCAGGACGTAAAGGAAGTTGTGCTCACTGAATGGGCGAGAGCAGCCCCTTGGAAAGAAAACAACATGGAATGACCTAGGAGAACAGTTTAAAGTTTCAATGCAATGGAAATGGCAGATGGAATTGAGTCAAAAAAACATTGTCCAGAAAGGGTTTCAGTTTTATGATTCACCCCAGAGATAGTCAGCCAGCACATAATGCTAAGAGACAGTCACCTTAACCCAGTTAACTACTGATATAAAAAGCAAGATACATGCAACAACAACAACAAAAAATAAGCATACACTTAGATCTCAATCTCTATTTGTACAGTAACATTTTTGCTTATCTGAGGATAAGCAAAAAATAGCTAAGCCCTAGCAAAAGGAATTTCAAGTGTTGTTCCTTTTAATTTTGGAACAAACAGCTGATGTTCAGCAATGAATGTGGGGGGTGGGATATAACAGTTCAGTGAAACAGTCACTGCCTTATGACTGTATGAGAAACTTGTGAACCGTGACTGCACACACATTAATGCAAGAGGAGATTTTATTCAATTTGGAATCAGGAGGGGCACAATATAAACATTTCCACTTCTCCTGGCCAACTAACTCTGCTAATGCAGCACACAGCTGCTAGATTTATCCAATAAATAAAGATACCAATAAGGATTCCTTTACCATCAAGGAAATAATGAACTTGACACTTTTGAGTGACTACAGATATTTTAATTACTGTAAGGTTATGTACTGAAGCCTAAAACATTTGAAAACATCTGCAGTTTCCAAAGCAGAGAACCTGGACTGGTGCTATGTGGTGCTCAGCCTGGTATGGGTGTTACACTAGTGCTATATACTGTTTCAGCACAAGCTTTCTTAAGAGAAGCCCTTTAGTAATGACATTGTCAGAAAGGCTCAGAACATGTATAGGATGCTGTTACCTCCATTAAAAAAAAAAAAAAGCAAACAAACCAACAACCAGCCCAATTTGAGATCTCTTAAAGAGTTCCCTAACAAAATTTTCATCAGTTTTCACTGTAAGATACTTGCATTTTTTTAAAGTGGAAACAAGTAGTAGATTCTACAGAACATGTCCTAGACATACTGCTTATGTATAAGTATGCCAGCAGGCTCCAAATTGCCTTGTAAATACCAACCACAGGAATAAAAAGCTGCCAGCCAGTCCCACCACAGCTGTGGTAGATGAGCACAGGTTTTCAGACTACATCCCTGCTTTTGTCTGACAGCCCATCCGACTCAGAGACAGATCACAAGTCAAACAGGGCCGAGGCAAAAAGAGCTGCAGTGACGAGCTCCCTTCTTCAGGCCTCTGACTTCTAAGGGACTTTAGATGAGTTTTCCTCCACTTAGCACACTTGTAGCATGTGAGATCTCAGTACAGGGACAAAGAGTGACAGCTGGGCAATGAGCCAGGCTGCAATCCACACTCAGCAGAGATGAGCGAATCCTTTGCCTTTACAATAACCCTCACAGCTCTGCAGAAACCCCTGAGCTCGGCAAAGTCAAAGACTCTACTCAGTTAAACTGTAACCAGTTAAATCTAAGTCCTTCCAAACAGAAAATCAATAAAAATGCTAATCTCTATGTTTTGAAGGAGCATTTTATTGCCATCTGCAACTTAGGAAGCTTTGATAGACAGCTAGTGATGTTTTTAAAGCTGCAGTGTTTACAATTTTTCTGAGTGCCAGACTTTATACAGCAAAGTAGTGCTTTTATTAGATCCAAAGCATGAACTGTATATAAAATACAGCTACTTTTCTTCCATGTTCTGTGGTTTTGGGGGGATTTTCCCCCCTTTTTTATCTAACAATTGCCTTTCATTGTGTCATACAGAAGGCTCCTCCCAGCTCAGACCACGCACTAATGCAAGCAGCTTTCTTCCAGCAAAGCCGCTATCGTTGCAGCAATGCTTTTGGAGCACAAAACCCAGGCAATGGCATGGAAGAACACGCAGCCGGCTGCACCGAGGTGCCTGCTCACCTGATTTCCCCATGGCCAAGTCTTGGATTGCCACCTGATGCCGCCTCCGACGAGCGCTGGGGATGAGCGGCGGGAATCCCAGCGCAACTTGAGCCCTCTCGCGGCCGCCGGGCCGGGCTCGGCGGGAGGAAGCTGTGACCGCCCCTTGGAGGAGCCCAGCGAGCCTGCCCATGCCTTATAAGGCAGAGGGACACTTCTCTTTTTTTCTTGAAAAGAGCCCGTTTGGGGTCAGCAGCTATTTATCCTCCACAGTAACCAAGCAGCTCCAAAACACCATATGTTTCACATACCGATATAGTTTGGTAATCGTGAATATTTCCTGATAGAGTGCGCTGTGAGAGGAAAAAAAAAAAATCCCGTTGACAAATATTCATGCTGCCACAGCAGGCACAACCCACAAGGCTCATTAATATAGTTACATGCTTTTTAAAGTTTCACTGAGTTACTGTATGCAAAGGTAAAACAGACAAGTGGTACTTTTGAAGTGGAAGTACGTTTCATGCCTTCACAGAAATCATTTTGGTAAAATAAAATCTGAAGAATATATGAATGGAAAGCATGGGAATGCAGCATACAATTTTTCAGATTAGGCAGGAACTGCCCTGATGATTTATTTTCCGTAAGAAAAGTTTGATCTGTGCCCACCTTACTCTATCTGTGCAAATACACTGTAGGCTTTGTCACCAGTTGTTTCACATTATACCTAATACCTCAAAGTGAGCTGAAATATCAAGTTACTCATACTCAGCCTTGATTTTTTTTTTCAACCTAAGAAGTGCTGCATTTCTCCAAATAACAACTCGGTTATTTGCCTCCTACTTCCTTCTTTTCCATAAGTACCACAAAAAAAATCATTTTTTTTTTTAAATACCGTTCAAAAATTCCAGGTGCTACTTGGTTTTGTACCAAGTCATCTGGCTCATCCCTTACCTTGCATATACCCATGCTATGTATCACTTTATCCAAGGGAAGGACTTAGGGACTGAAGGTCCCTCCTTCTCACTTAAGTCACCCTGAAACATTCACACTCCAGGCAGCTGCTGTCTGTTCTCACAAGGGACACGGGGCGAGGGAAGCAACTTTTAAGTACCCATGTTTTACCTCTAGAGGCTGAGATCCATGATGAAAAGAGCAATGAAAGAGTTTTTTTTATTATTATTTTTTAAAAACAAATAGCAGTAGGAGCAGGTGGAGAAGACAGCATCTCTTGGCCAACAAATTGCTTCTGAGGTTACTTTGCTGGCAGCCCAGGCCAAGCGCGTGCCATTATCTAGCACCAGATCTGGTTACTCATAAGAGGCGTGGAGGTAACTGATCATCACCTGCAAAGGGAAACCACAGGGCACAAGCTCAAATTCACTTTCGCAACAGCCTGACACTCCTCCTGGCTGGTATAACCCAGGCAGCAGAACAGGAAGAAAAGTTCAGAGAAGGTGAAGGAGGAAGTCTCTGCCCACCCTGCCTGCCATGAGAACGGCAGAGGCTGCCGAGCGGCGACATGGAGAGCTGGCATGGAGACATGGAGAGCTGCTCTAAAAATGCTCTGTTGATCAACATGGAGAGCTGGAGGCAGTACCTCCCGGAGCCCCTTCTAGAGGACTAGGAAGCTCTTTCTTCTGGTTGTGCAAGTGATCAAACCCTGTGTCAGTCTATGTGCTCTAAAAATGCTCTGTTGATCCTGAAATACTGGCTTGTGCCATCCCTGGGAGGTACAGCACCACTTGGGAATACTCTGTGCCACCATCCAGCTACAGCCACTTCCGCAAGATTTTTAGAAGACAAGGTACAATTACAACTTGGAGAGTTTCTCAAAACCAACAAATCCAGTGTAGGACAGGAAAGAACTGGCATTTTTTGCTGATTGTAAAACAAGGAAATCAAAATTACTACTCAAACATAAAAGTATCAGTGGAAAGGATCAGTATAATGTAAATGCAGTGACTTATCAGAAAGTGGGAAGCAATTCAAGTCTGGGTACAAAGAGGAAGGGGAAAGCTGTGCTTTCGTTTTAATAATTTAACATTAGTCATTGAAATTTCCAAACTAGAAAATACTGCTGATTTAGTCAGACAGCAGTTTAGAGGAAGTCTACACACTGATAGTTAGGAATGTAGTCATCTCTTTGAAAGTAGTGAATCTGATTAAATAAAAGCCACAGCCAGGGAAATTTGGGTGTTATAAATCATTAACAATCTTCTACCACTTTTAGGTAATATTGAACAGACTGAAACCCGAGTGGAAGAAGAGAGGATTTCCCATTTGCTTGATAATATATTACAGCAGCTCTAAGTGCATGCTTATTTAATTATTCCATAATTCCTTTATACAAAGAAATACTATGACAAAATGGGTATTAACCAATAATGCTATCAATTTTGGTATCAAACTGAATATGTGCCATTCAGATTAGAAAACAGAAGCCCCCTCCAACCCTATCTTCCCATTTCTCCCAGTAAAGCAAACCATTTCACCCTTCACTTTACCTTGCTGAACAGGAAAACCCCAGGTCATCCAATATCTTCCTAGAGGTGTGTGTCTGATGGGTGAGTAGAGAGTTAATGATGACACTGCTGAATTGCACTCTGAGACAGGGCAGAGACACGATAAGGGAAACGATGGGCACTGTCCCCAGCAGGAAGATAGGGAAGTGGGAAATCCTGTGGATGTGGGGGGCAGTGGGTCTCCCTTTGCTGAAGGCTGCAACAGCACCAAAATGGACACGTTGCCGAACGCTGATAAGAGACCGAGACCCATCATGCTGACAGTGCAAAAAAAAGCAGATGCTCTCATAGATCATGCCTGAAGATTTTGGAAAAAGTGCTTCATAAGAGTAACCATAACACAGTCACATACTCCTTCTCTAAGGGTATAAAAGAGAGTCTAGTACTGATGAGTTGAGCAGGGATCAGAAATGACACCTGATAAACTCCTCTGGCTGCACCATGTGAGCACCCCTCCCCTCCACCTGGCACCCTGGGCTAAGGTGACGCCTTGCGAGGCTGAGAGTCCCCTGCACACTCAGGGTGTCAGAGTGCTCCTTTGCAGCACCTTATAATTTATTTCCAGGCTGTAGAAATGCTAGGATAGATTTTTCATTCCTTGCAAGGCTGAGGGGGCCCTGTGTATTTAGGGTGAAGTAATGCTATAGCAATTTTAAAATTTGATTTCATTTTATTTTGGCTTTTATTTCTGTTTCTTTTTCTGGGACAAGCAGTGGACTTCATTTAGTTGTGCTGACTGCTCATTTCTGCTTACTAGTTGATCAGCCAATTCCTATAGCAATCACATCAGTTAATGTGATTCAGCTTGCACAGGTGAATAAATCAGCTAACTAAATCCCAGTGGTTATTGTCCCTCTGGATTATTTTACTGCCTGCTTTAACGACAAGTAGCGCTACAGTGTCCTTGTCTGGGGAACACAACCAAGCCCCCATCTCCATCTGTGAAGAGAACCTGCATGTCGGGCTCAGCCTGGGGCCGGCGATGGGAGCATCTCCTCAGCAATGGGGGGCTGAGCTGAGGCGGGAGCTGCAGCCAAGCGGCCAGCGCGTGACCAGGCAGCTCTGTGGGTGGCCCTGCGTGTGGTTGGCGTGGGATCACCTGCCTGATCGGCTGGTTGGGTGGTGGGGCTCTGCGTGCTGCTGGGCAGCGCGGGGGCGGCTCCGGGGTTGGGAGCGGTATAAGTGGTGTTTAACCCTAAATAACGGCCTTTGTTCACCATCTCCGGAGAGCCCTGCTGCTCAATACCCCACAAATGGCGCCTGCACACGGACAGAGACAGGCAATCGGGGAAGATCACATGGTGGGGTAAGCTTGACAGGATGGACAGGGGAGAACATCTACATGGCCACAAACGTTAAATGGTGACGAAGCTCAGAGCCATGTGGTAGTGGGAGCCTCACAAGCTCTAGCCACTGGGAAGTGGAGCCTAGTTGTCGAGGACCATGGGAGGATCCATGACTAAGGAGCAGGAAAGGGCACTGCAGGTTCGGCAGCGTATTTTAGGTAAGTCTGGAAAACTGAGGGACGTTCAGCCAGGGAACCTGATCCAGCTTCTAGAATGGGGTTTGGGCAATTGTAATGTTTTAAGTGAGGCAACGGTGTCCGACCTCAGGGCCTGGTATAGTTTGGCACAGTAGTGCTGTGGATGACTTGCAGGAACCTGACTGTGTCTTCCTCATTGACACCTTGGCAAATTGTCTATGAGGTTCTAAGGAAGTATGTAGGGACCTCAGCCACCAGGATCGAGGTGACGGCGCCACTGCCCGGGGACAGGAAACCTGTGATGCTGAAGCCCGAGGATTTCTCTCCCCAGGTAGAGAGCCAGAGGGAGCCATGTTTCCACTCCCCACCCCGCTCCTGATTATCTGAAGGGGGTCATAGCAGCTGACCCTGTAGATCAAGGCTCAGCGGCATCCTGTTCCTCAGGAGAAGGGATGGAGAACCACTGGGTCAGAGTGTGGTGGGAGGCACTTCGTGCGGGCGATCTACCTGGGGGCAAGGTTGCTGGGTCCGTGGTCTCTGCTTATCCTGTATTACTTGACACAAATACAGGCCTGCAGCACAGACCACTAGAGTATGATATAATTAAGGAAATATGGAAGGAAGGTGTCCGAGTATGGGCTGAAGGCACCGTATATTCAAGCGCTAATTTGGGGGACATCAGAGGATAATTGGCTAGTCTCTCATGACTTTAAAATGCTGATACGGCTGATCCTTACCCCAGAACAGCAGGCAGTCGCGCTTCAAAAGGCGCGTAAGGCAGCAAATATGAAGGCGCTCGATAACATACATAATCAAACAATACAGGGAGTGAGCGCGGAGATGTTACTGGGAAAGGGCCACTATAATACAGCTCAAATACTGCCCACCTGTTGTGCTGGTCCAATCATGCGAAGTGTTCCTCGAGGCTTTGGTGAACGTCCCAGATGAAAGGGACGTGAAAGTCCTCGAGCCCTTCTCTAAGGTGACTCAGGAGAAGGGGAAATCGCACGTTAAATTCTTGAACCGGCTCAAAGCGTCGGTGGACAAACAG